GAGCTTCTGTGAACACGTTGGTAGGAAGGCCTCCACACTGGAACTGGGGTCGAGGAAAGTGAAGGAAACCATGCCAAGAGCTGGGAGAAGCATTCCGGGCCCAGGAATCAGCAAGTGCACAGATCCTGTGACAGGAACAAGTCTGGCATGTCTGTAGAAGAAACATGCAGTTTGCATGAGGGCAATGGCCTTGCTAGGAGGTCAGGAATAAACAGGAGGTATAGGCTAGATAACACAGATTTCTAGCAGGATGTTTGGCTTTTTTGTAGGGTTGGGGATCAAACCCAGTGCTTGGGCTTCTAGGTCAGAGTTCTACCAGTGAGTTACATCCCCCTCTGATATTTGGAATTAATTGTAATTGTAGTGGAACACAGTGGGGCTCTAAGAGGGGGAGGGCGGTACTGTATGTAATCCTTCCTTCCTTCCTTCCTTCCTTCCTTCCTTCCTTCCTTCCTTCCTCCCTCCCTCCCTCCCTTCCTTCCTTCCTTTTTTCCCTCCCTCCCGCTTTCCCTATTTTCTTCCTTCTTTCCTAAAAACTTTAATTTAAAAGAATTTATTTCTATTTTATGTGTATGAATGTTTTGCCTGCATGTATGTGAATGCAATGCTCCCAGAGGTCAAAAGAGGGCATCAGATTTCCTGGAACCAGAATTACAGATGGTTGTTAGCTACTATGTGGGTGCTGGGAACTGAATCTAGATCCTCAGCAAGAACAGCCAGTGCTCATGACCACTGAGCCGTCTCTCCAGCCACTCTATTGAAAAAACTTTTTATATGTATGTATGTATGTATGTATGTACGTATGTGCACACATGAGTGTGTGTGTGCTCCATGGTGACTGTGAATGTTAGAGCACAACTTGTGGGAGCTGGTTCTTTCCTTCTACCATGTAGGGTCTGAGGACTGAACTCAGGCTTGGTGGCAAGTACATTTACCTGCTAAGTAATCTCATCAGCTGTGGTGATTTGAATGAGAATATGTGCCTCATACGCTCCAAGTATTTGAGTATTTTGTCCCCAGTTGGTGCAGCTGTTTTGGGAGGTCTTAGAAGGTGTGGCCATGCTGGAGGAAGCACATCTCTGGGGGTGGGCTTACAAAGTTCTTAAGCCTTGCCCGATCTCCATTTGTGCTCTGCTTCCCGTGCCTTCTTGAAGATGGGAGTGTTTAGCTTCTGCTCCTACTCCAGCCACCTCTGCCACCATGCCTCCCTGCCATGATGGACTCTTGCTCCTTTGGAACTGTAAGGTAAATAAACTCTTCTTCTTCCTTTTATAAATTCCCTTGATCATGGTGTTTCTATCACAGCAGTAGAAAAGTAACTAACACACCAGCCCATTTCTTCTCTACCCTCTCTCTGTGCATGAGTGTACATGGGTGCATGTGTATCAGGTGTCATCCCTCAGGAACCATACACGTTGTTTTCTGAGACAGTGTCTCTCATTATCCTGGCACTCACAGATTAGGCTAGGCTGGCTGGTCAGCAAACTCCAGGGATCCACCTGTCTCTACTTCCCCAGTGTTGGGATTACAAGCATGTACCAACCACTCTAAGCTTTTTTTTTCTGGGGGTTCTGGGGATCAAACTCAGATCCTAATGCTTGGATGGGAAACCTTTTCTCAACTGAACAATATCTCTAGCCTTAGTTACTTTCTTGTTGATGTGACCAAATACTTCACAAAAAACAATTTAAGAGAGAAAGGATTTATTTTGGCTCATGGTTTGTGAGGGTACAGTCCATCATGGTGGGGAATGAGTGGCAACTAGAGTGGGTGATGGCTGGGATGCTGTGAGATGGCTGGTTGCATTGCAGAAACAATCAGGAAGATGAGAGCCACAGTGGGAGCAAGTTGGGTTCCATAAACACTGCCCTGATAGTCCTGTCTATGGCAGCCAGGTCCCACCTCCTAAAGGCTCCACAACCTCCCAAAATGGCACCACCAAAATGAGCCTGTGGGGGACAGTTCCCAGTCAAACCATAACAGGCATAAATTTGATTACTTTGAAGGCTCACTCAGGCTACTGAGCAGAGAATAGCTTTGACTGCTAGTGGTGGAACATGGCATGAAAGCTGAATCAAGCTCTGTGCTGTAGTTTCTCTTTGTGTCTGACAGTCCCTGACTGAACTTCACCAAGTCTCAGCTGTATCTAAATAGTCAAGAGGGCTGGAGAGATGGCTCAGCGGTTAAGAGCACTGACTGCTCTTGCGGAGGACCCGGGTTCGATTCCCAGCACCCACATGGCGGCTACAAACCGCCCTTAACTCCAGTTCCAGGGGAATTCAATGTCCTCTTCTGACCTCCGCAGCATTGCACGACACGGGTGCACTCACATACATGCAGGCAATACATTCATACACTAAAAAATAAAAAATTTAAATAGTCAAGAAGGGCAGCCTAAGACACAAAGGGCTACTGCTTTGTACTTCTGGGCCAAGGGGTTGGATTCCTTAATGGTAGTACTTTCAAAGGATGAGGAAGAGCTTTCTCAGAAACCTCCAGAACCTGCATTTGTGTGGTATGACATGTCATGGTTGGCTTGGTTGTCAACTTGACACCTGGGAAGAGTGATTCTCAACTGGGGAATTATCGCTATTGGCGTGGCCTGTGGCCATGTCTGTGAGGCATTTTCTTGATTGTTGAGTGATGTGGGAGACCCAGTTCACTGTGGGTGGTGCCACCCCTGGGCAGGTCATCCTGGGTTATATAAGAAAGCAGGCTGAGCATTGGCCAGAGGAGCAAACTAAGCAGTGCTCCTCCATGGTCTGTGCTTCAGTTCCTGCCTCCAGGTTCCTGCCCTGAGTTCCTGCCTCCAGGTTCCTGCCCTGAGATCCTGCCTTGGCTTTCCTCAATGATGAACTGTGATCTGGACCTACCTGTAGATGCTATAAATCCTTTCCTCTCTAAGTTGGTTTTGGTCAGAATTTTATCACAGCAGCAGAAAATTTGTAGAACACATGCCATCTCTAGAAACAACCACTTCGAATGTAAATACATTATCCTTAGACTGGAGCTAGGAATAGGTAGGTCAGCTTGCTGTAGCCAAGGACTGTGTAATCTAGAGCTGGCCACATCAAGGAGGAGTGGATGGTGGGTAGTTGTCCGTGTCGATTTCAGGGGCTAGGGTAGAACCAGTGATACCAGATATAGTCCTTACTTTTGGGTTTCTGTAACCAAATACCTGACAAAAACAAATTAAAGACAGAAACATTCCTTTGACTCACCATTTGTAACAAAAATTACATTGGTAAACTGTTATGTGTTGTTTGTACTTGAGAGCTGACTCTGAGAGTAAGATGGGCCCTCATCCCCAATCCAATATTATCTCCTTTGAGGCTGTTTCCTGGGGCAGGCTGGCCCTCATGCTCCTGTGACAGGGAGAAAGGAAATCAACAAACAGTTAAGGCACAGGGCTTTAATCCCAGCACTTGGGAGGCAGAGGCAGGTGGGAGTTCCAGGCCAGTCTGGTCTACATAGTGAGTTCCAGGACATCTGGGGCTACAAGGAGACCCTGTCTCAAAAAGACAAAAAAAATTACATCCTTGAGGACAGTTACAAGGTCAACCATTTCCAACAGAAGTTACTGTTATATATCAATGACGTAAGATACCTGTGGTGGGAAAGAGAAATGGGAAGGGAAGCTCTGCCTGGAAATCTCTCAAGAGAAACTTGTATGAGTTAGCGTCTGTTGCTGTAATAAAATGCTCTAAGTAAAAACATCTTATACTTCCAAATGACAGTCTTCATGAGGGAAGTCAGGGTAGAAACCTGGAGGCAGAAACTGAGGCACAGACCATGGAGAAGCATTGCTTACTGGCTTGCTCCTCAGGCCTGTGCTCAGCCTGCTTTTGTACACAACCAAGCCCACCTGCCCAGGAGTGGCACTGCCCACAGAAGGCTGGGCCCTCCCACAAGGCTGTACAAAGGGATGGAGGAGGAAGGGGACAGAGAGTTGTTTCTTTAAAAAATGTATTTCTTGACTTTTTGAGAATTTCAATTGTGTTTCGATCACATTCAGACCTTTCCTATTTTTAAAAAATATTTTTATTGGAATTTTTAAAAAGACTTAAAATTTTAAATTATATGCGTCTGTGTGTGGGTATGTACATGTGAGTGAGTTCAGGTGCCCATGGATGCAGAGGTGTGGGATTCCCCAGGAGGTGGAGTTACAGGCAGCTATGAGGTGCCCGTGCGGTTGATGGGAACTGAACAAAACACCAAAATTGTAAAATGAGTTTCGGAATAACGCCAGCAGTTACTCTTGAAAAATATCTTAAACGGTGTCTACATAGCAGCATAGTAATACTAGTACAGCAGATAAATATATATAAGGAAAAATTGAGGAGTGTACAGTAATGAATACATACGCAAAATTCGGTTCTATATTGTGTATTTTAGCTCATTAAGATATATTAGTTCATTAAAAGGCACGGGAAAGAGTGGAATTCGCTAAAATTAAATGAGCTTAAGAAATAGCTTCAGTGCACGAATTAAGTTCCCACCACCACCAGAGGTAGTGCTGAAAAGAAGGCGGCGCTAGCAACTCCCCGCGGCTCCCTCTCCGCTGGGCGGTGGGGTCCCACCCACCTAAACCCCGCCCAGCGTACGCCCTAGGGGGCGTGTCGGCCCTCAAAACCCCGCCCAGCGCACGCCTCGGGGCGGGGCCTACGGGCTTCCCGGCGTGCCGTGCGGGCGGGGCGAGGGGCGGAGCTTGCGCGGAGCTGCGTGGAGGAGCGGTTGCAGCAGAGTAGGACTTCTGCCTGGGCCCGGCGGCTGCGGAAGAGGACCTTGCGCGCTCGGCGTTCGGCCTGCTGCTCGAAGGCGGCGGCGGCAGCGGCGGCATGCGCGTGTGAGATGCGGCCGCGAGCAGCCCGGACGCGAGCGGCGGCCCCCGGGGCAGCTGTGAAAGAGAGCGCGGCCTCCTCGGAGCGCGGCGCGCGGTGCATGAGGGCGAGCGCGCGGGGCCGCAGGCCAAGCTGCCTCCACAAACACTTGTTTAGGACTCGTTCGCCCTGTTGAGGCCGGCATGGAGCATCCACCCAAGCCCCAGCCCGAGCCCCAGCCCGAGTCCCAGCCCGAGCCCCAGCCCGAGCCCCAGTTCGAGCCCCAGGCCTCGGCTGCCTGGCTGCGCGCCCCGGAGGTGGCGCGGCTCCGCGAGGAGCAGGAAAAGGTAACAGGCCGTGCTCGACTTCAGGCCTGCTTCTGCCTGCGGCCCACGCGTGGGTCCCCGCGCCGGCTTCCAACGCCTGTCCCTCGCTGGGGGCGGTCCCGGAGCCGGGGACCTCGGGCCTGCGGGGACCCTAGGGGAAACTGTTGCCACGTGCATTTGTTGTCTTTTTGTCTGGAGCCCTTTGACCTTCAGAGGAGGGGAGGGATGGGGTGAAGGGGTGGGATTCAGGGATGGTATGGAGGGGTGTGGTGGAGGAGTAGGGTGCAGGGATGGGATGGAGGGGTGGGGTGCGTCTGTTAAACCTGTTCTAAACGCACCAGGAGTGTCTGGGAATTTTTTTTTTTTTTTTCTGGTGTGTGTATGTGTTGGGCACGAACTCCAAATGGAAGTGGTCACTTTTTTGTCCTTTAGCCTGCTGCTACTTAAATGTGCACTCTTGTGATGGTGCACTTCTTTGCAATCCGAGCTTTGATTGGGGTTTAGTATTCCACAAGGCTGTTTAGTTAAAATTTAACTTCAATCATATAATGAGCGAGTTTTATGCCGGCCGTGGCTTTAATCCCAGCACTCGGGAGGCAGAGGCAGGCAGATCTCTTGAGTTCAAGGCCAACTGGGCCCACAGGGAGACCCTGTCTCAAAAAGACCGGGGTGGGGGTGGGGCGAGTTTTGAACTACCAGAGGAGAGTGTTTTGCATCTTTGAATGGAATTTTCTGTAAGGAAGTTTGCTCAATTTAGAACTATAGTTTGATTCTTAAATGTGAAAATTTCATGTGATGTCTGTGGTATTTCAAGTGAAGTGGACTTCTCGCGGTCTTGAAATTATTATCGTTACTATTTTTGAGCTAGGGTCTCCCTGTAGCCCCAGAGATCTGCTTACCTCCGCCTCCTGAGTGAGTGCTGGGATTAAAGGTGTGTGTCACTATGCTGGGCAAGTGTCTTGAAATTCTTTTAAAGTCGACATTTAATTTGCTTAAAACAAATTAAATATTGGGAGAGAATGCCGTGTATCTTGACGGATTAAGAAGTTGTGTCAAAATTGAGAAGCCAAAACTTTTCAATTTTCTTTTTTAAAATTTACTCATTAAAAATTATTTGGGAATTTCATTCATATATACAATCAAATATATCCTCTCCATTTCCTCCCTCCAGCTTACCCCATCCCTCTCGATGGACCCCCTCTCCCAACTCCTGTCCTCATTTTAAATTTTAAATAATCCACTAGTTCATTTAGTGCTTTTTAAAAGTTTTCCTTATTGTTATTTTAAATAACCCATTAAGTTATGTGCAGGACCATCCAGTGGAGCTGGGGCAACTTAACCAGGGTCCATGGCCAGGAAGAGTGATGCTACTTCATCCCCTGTCAGCCCCCAGTAGCTTCTCGTTTAGGGGTGGGGCCTCTGAGCTCCTTCCCCATCGATGCTGGGATTTTGACTGAGAAGCCACAGCTTTCTGTATGTAATCCTGTGTAAAAATGTCCACTTAAACATAGCTACATAGATGTGCTCAAGCTAAACAACATGAAGGTTAATAGACCCTAAAAAAAAAAAATCCCTCTTTGCTTGGAAATCCACTGTTGTCTCACTTTGTTCTAGTTGGTGTAAATTGTGTTTTTTGCTCTCGGCTTTCCATTTTTCTCTAATATAGTACAACTGTTGAGTTTTAAACTTGTGTTTTTTAAAAAATCTGGTATAGTGTATTTAAGTTACAAGACAGAAATACTTGTTGGCTGATTTTTTAAATGTATTTTTGGTTCTAGATGAACTGTATCCTCAGCTCACTTTTTACTTTTTGAAACAGGGTCTCATTAAGTTGCCCAGGCTGGCCTTGAACTCCCTCTGTGGTCCAGCCAGGCTTTGAAATTGTTACTCTTTGGCTTCAGCCTCCCAAGTTGCTGTGGTACCAATTAGACATCATCTTAATTTTTTTAAAGAGAAAGATTAGAAAAGAAAGGAAAAACAGAATAGCCCTGCATAAAACCTTGTTACTTTTTTTTTTTTTTCTCTTTTTTGAGACAGTGTCTCCTAGCCCCAGCTGGCCTGGAACTCCCTGTGTAGCCTTGTCTATAGTACTTTTATCTCCAAAGTAGTGTGTGAAGAATGCTGACTGATGTTTCCTCCTGTGTGGCTTCTTTAAATGAAAGGCCCTTGGTTTTATTCTGATGTAAGTGTGTGAAATACGAAGGCTACTTTGGGGGTGCTCTGAACAGCTTGCTAGCATAGTGTCTAGTTACATATGAGAATACCTGTCTTCACAGTTCAGTCCAGTGGGGGAAGGTTTTCAGTGGACATGGACCCTCAGGATTGCGTGTCCTGTTTTGTGTTAATGTTAATTTGGCACATAAAGTCAACACACCTGCCTGTGTTGGTTATGTGAAATAGCTTCCAGTTCATGGTAAAGCCCCTTAGACTATTTACTCAATAGGAGGAGAATCTGCGAGTGGACAGGAGATATAAGATCACAATAAAACATACCGGTTACACAGCTGTGTTTTAGAGTCTAGCACAGGAAACTGTTTAGGAAGTAGTGAATTAGAAATTTTGTGAGGGACTTTATTTGGGTTTTAAGGCCAAGCTGGTTTGATGGTTGTGTGGTCTCCAGTGTGAAAGTAGAAGCATGTGATGTTCTCAATGGAGAGGGAAATGACACTATAGCTTTGTGTTAGTGGGCACTGGGCCAGCTCCATGGGAGGGAGGTACCCCTGAGAAGATGATTGGAGCACCTGTTTCCTCTGTTTGGGTGATGGTACCCACCTACTGGAGTTAGATGTTGGAAAAGGGACCCTGATTCCTTGCCTAAGTGAATGTTCTTAGGTGTAGGGTATATTTTTTCTTAGAACCTGGCTTGAGAGCAGCCTTAGATAATGTTTGTGCTCTTTAAGTTTCTTTTTAATTCCACTAAGAAGAACCCCAAGTTTTATCCTGGTCTCCCGCCTTGTCTTGGTTTACACTGGAGTACTGATAAGAGATAAAGAAAGGAAAGAAGACCAGGAGCATGAATGACCCCCCCCTCCCCCCGTGCTTTTTGTTTTTACTTTGGGAACAAGTGAAAATGTGGTCAAACGTGGTTTTTTTTTTTGTTAAAACTTTCATTTCCTCTTTCTTCCTCTCTCTCTCTCTCTCTCTCTCTCTCTCTCTCTTTCTCTCTCTCTCTCTCTCCCTCCCTCCCTCTCCCTCTCTCTCCCTCCTCTCTTTTTCTTTTCCTTTTTTTTTTTTTTGACCTTGTCTCATGAGCCCAAGCTAGCCTTGAACTCATGTAGCCAAGGATGAGCTTGAACCTCCTTCCTGACTGTGGTGGCTGGTTTTTGAATACCATTTTCCAGGTTTATTTCTTAGTTGGTCAAGTGTTGATAGAATTCATTCATACCCCCTCCCCTCGTAGGTTTCTTTCTTTTTTTCCTTTTTTCCCCTCAAAGATTTTGCTTAATCTTAATTTTCTGACAGAAGATAAAAGAGAAACTCAGATCACCTTTATGTTTTATTATACTCGGAGTATAGAACGGCATATTATTATTGTTTTAATTATTTAGTTCATAGCCAAATGATTAGAAGAGGCATTTCATTAAAACAGCTTTGACATATTCAATAACAATTTCCAGAGCAAAGATACATCTCTTTCAAAAATGTCTGTAAATTTTTTGGTTCACAATTAATACAGTTATACAATATTGAACTCAGTATAAACCCTGTAAGACATAAAATTGAATGAGTTTTTTACCTTTAAAAAAGATCTCCATTTCATTTTAAAATATACTGTTTCTTACAGAAAGACTCATTGTTTTTGCTAATAACACTTAAATGTTGGTATTTATTTTTATTTTATGTGTATGTGTGTATTTCCTGCATGTAGGCGAGTGCACCCGTGTTGTGCAGTGCCCGCGGAGGACAGAAGAGGCTGACAGATCCCTTGGAACTGGAGTTACCGGCAGTTGTTAGCTGCCTTGTGGGTGCTGGGATTTGAACCCCGGTCTTCTGCAAGAACAGCCAGTGTTCTTAACCACTGAACCATCTTTCCAGCCCTTATTCATTGTGTTTAAGTCAGGGTCTTACTGTGTAGCCCTGGCTGACCTTGAGCTTGTAGTGATCCTCCTACCTCAGCCTTCCTAGGGCTGAGATTATGGGTATGTGCCTGGAGATGACTGTTCTAGGCTATATCTGCTTGTACCAAGAAAGAAAGATTTGGAAGGAGGGGCTGGAAAGATGGCTCAGCATTTAAGAGCACTGGCTGCTCTTTCGAAGGACCTAGGTTCTGTTCTTAGCACCCACATGGAGCCTAACAACTGTCCATAACTCCAGTTCCAGGGGATTCCATGCCCTCTTCTGACCTCCGAGGGCATTGCATCACATGGGTGCACTTACATACATGCAGGCATCACACTCATACACAAAATTAAAAAGAAAAGATTTGAAAGGAAAATGTAAGCTTCTTAGGCTGCCTCTGTAGACTGACCTGTTCTGGAACACCAGTGATCAGGGCTGTTGTAGGCAGTTTTCTTATACTGCTTTTTTTCAGAATTGCATTATGTTCAGATTTTGGTTTCTTGGCTAAGGTTATTTTTCTGGGATAACTGTTTTATGTCTCTAGATTTTATTATGTTTTATTAGCAGAATACAGCATGAAAAGTGGGATATAGTATGGTTTTCATAGGCTTATTTGTAGGATAGTATAATTACTACTGAGGGCCTCATGTAATCTCACTTGGAATTTTGAAATAGCTTACATTTTCCTCCTAATAGAATCTTGGAGAATTAAGTGCAGAAGTAAATATTTTTATTTTTTCTTAAAACAGAACAGCTAGCCAAGCTTAATGTTGAATCTTTATGTTTGTCATGGTAAACCTGGAGTAGTGTAAAGAGCTTATTGCTTCTTTGCATGATGAGATGTCTATTGTGCCTGGAGTTGATTTGGGGTGTAGCAGGGATTGAGGCAGGCCTCACTTTGCATTTAGGTGTCTAGTTGCTCCATCATCTTTTCCTGGGATGATTGACTTATTCCCACTCCA